TCTTGTAATGTCTTCCTGCAGGAGTACAAGCTGCTATTTGAAGGGGCTGGCAGCAACCCTGGAGACAAAACCCTTGAAGACAGGTTCTTTGAGCATGAGGTAAGTGAGCTCTGAGACACTTCTTGCTATGTGCCTACCCGTGCCGTTTGCAAAGCTCAGGGTAGCAGCAAGCTTGTCTGCTGCCCTGGCAGCAGCGCTGTGGATGAACAGAGTTTGGGGGAAGGAGAAGGATGCTAGACCTCCGCTTCAGCGAGGGAATGGGAGCCCAGCATGGTGCTCGGTCCATGTTCTCACCCAGACAGATTAGAGCAGTGCGTTAGGCAAGTTTGTGGCTGCTGGTGGATATTCGGGCCATCGATAGCAAAACCAGAGTGTAATTATGTGGCAAGGGAGGATTTTCACAGTACCTGAGGGTATAAATATTTCCCGCTTCAAATGTCAGAGCCTGTCCTGAGCCACGTGCCGTAGGTTAGAGCTGCCCTGAGGACCTAAAGAGAGGCAGAGCAGGAGACCTGTGCTGAGCCTTTGGGGAAGTCAGGGCACCTCCCAAGCTGCTCCACGCTTGCCATGACCAGCTCTTCCCATCTGAGGCGGACAAGTGACGTGTCCTCATCTCACCTTTCCCCAGGTGAAGCTGAACAAGCTGGCCTTCCTCAACCAGTTCCACTTTGGAGTGTTCTACGCCTTCGTGAAGCTGAAGGAGCAGGAGTGCCGCAACATTGTGTGGATCGCAGAGTGCATCGCCCAGCGGCACAGGACCAAGATTGACAACTACATTCCCATCTTCTAAACCTGCTTTGCTCCTGACCCACCTTCCTGCCCCTGGAGTCCGGAGGGACCCCTGTCTAACTCCCCGAGTGATCCCTTGCCCAGACTCCAGGGATGTCCCATCTGTGGAACTGGCTCAGATGAGGAAACTGTACAGTTACTAGTTAAATTATTCACAAGCTGAAGTTTGAGTTGTGTGCGCTGTGAGGGGTCCGGAGGGACCAGTGGCACAGGCTTGGCCCTGTGCAGCAGGAGGGATGCCTCCTGTTGTGTATCTCATAGTCCCTGTGCTTCTGTATTAATCTGCTGTATGTGCTTACGCTCGTAGAGCAAGCACCAGCTGCGGGGTTGATGCCTCCAAGGGGTTCCCACTGCTGTGGAGGAGCACATCAGGTCTGCCATGGCTGGGGCTCCTCTCCATCAGTGCTCTGCACGCCTCCTAGTCAGTGTTGTTCCTGTGAGGTCTAGTTGGAGTGTCATTTGTAGCGTAGCCCATGCTGCTGTGCAATCCCCGCATCCTGCTGTAGCTAACCCTGACCAGGGAGACACTGAGCAGCCCTGGCCCAGGACTGGGATGGAGCCTGTGTGAACATGAGGGCAGAGCCGGAGCGCTTGTGGAGCATGTTCCTCCCTGCTCCGGCAGCATTTGCACGGCCTCGCTGTGTCCTCAGAAGCAGCTCTGGTCGGACTCCCCCCTGCCCAGCAGCTGACTGCGCTCCTTCCTCCCCTGCAGCCCTACAGGAGCGTGTAATGAAGGGCAGGGAGGCGAGGGCCCGCATGGCAGTGGCCGCAGAGTCAAATGGTTGCGCTGGAGGACCGGGAACATCCCCCACAGCGGTGGAGAAGCCATGCCGGTGGAGAACACGTGCCTGGTGCTGCTGCTGGGAGGGAGCAATGGAGAGCAGCTCTGTCCCAGCCTTGTGCCGTGGTCACCTCTGCCGTGTGTGTTATCCCGTGATCCCCTCCTCTCTACGCCAATAAATATCTGCTTCCTGCACTGTGCTCTCCCTGCTTACTCGGGCACCTGCTCCCACCTTCCCCAGAGGAGCCTCCGTCAGCCACAGGGCCTCTTACCCAGGGAATTTGATATTTGTGTTTTTTCCAGCCCCTGCACCCTGCTGCGGTGCTCGGTGTGGTGCCAGCTCTGCCCGCAGGCAGGGCATCCCTGACCAAGCATCTGCAGCGCAGAAGGAGACCGCCAGAGCCCAGTGGCATATCAAGAAGAGATTTATTTAAAAAGTGACAATCATGTAGTTCATCTCGTGAAGAGCTCTGCAGCCCGGCCTCGGGCCCTGCTCTTGCCGGCAGCACCTGGAGTGTGTAACGAAGGGCAGGGAGGCAAGGGCTGGCCTGGCAGTGGCCACAGGAGCCCGGGCCT